GGAGGGAGGGAGGGAGGGAGGGAAGAGAAAGATAATGAGATATCTATTCTAGTCCAATCACCTGCTCCAGCAGAGTTAGAAGGGAGTGTGTGTTTGTGTTCTCCTTGTAATTTACCAGTACATTTTTGTTTTGCCTACTTCTGAATTTGCACTGTAATACATTGGGGAAAAGTAATCTTTTAGGGTGGAGGTCTAGTCCAATGGATCCTGTTTAAAGCCTCAAGAAAATGTGAGAGCTTCCTGATAGGTTTGACCATGTTTCGTCCACAAAACCTTTAATAGAAGCCAAAGATGTTTCAATGTGCTGGCAAGATGCTGGCAAAGATGCTTCAATGTGGAAAAGGGCCTGTAAACTAGGCCTTATTTCAATCTGATGCATCAAGTCTCTCTCTCTCCCCTCCCCTCTCTCTCATTCTCTCTCTCTCCCTCCCTCCCGCCCGCCCTCCTTCCCTCCATCCTCCCCTCTTTCTTTGTCTGTCTCTTTTCCTTTCTTTCTCTTTTCTCTTTCTTTTCTTCCTTTTCTCTTTCTGTTGCTCTCTCTTTTCTCACTCTATCTTTCACTCTCTCAGGCTCACCCCATTGACTTGGTGTACCACTCTGCTCAGATTTGCTTGGGCAGGTCCATCTGGTGCAGTGGGCTCAATGGGGTGAGCCTGCAGGGCGATGCCTCGAACGTGGCAGTGGTGGCACATTGGAAAAATAGAGCAAAGCTACTCTGGCTTTGCTGTACTTTCCCAATGTGCTGCCATCAGTGCGTTCAAGGTGCTGGCCCTGCAGGTTCACCCTGTTGATTGCTGCACCGCTCCACTCAGCAGCTGCTGAGGATCCAGGCGGGACCCAAGCAGTAACCAGCCTTTGTCACGGCTACCAGCAAGCCAGGCAATTGGGGTGGGGAGGAAGCTTGCTAGGTCGTGAGTGCTGCATGGAGCCTTGGCTCTGTCGGCTAAGCAAGCTGGGCAAGTGGGGTGTGGGGAAAGCTAGCTAGGATGAGGGCGGCAGCAGAATGGCCATGGCGGTCTAGGCCGGCCCAGGAGTTATGACTCGACCGGGGCTTGTGGTGGTGGCGGCAGCGAGGTGAGGGCAGTGGCAGTGGCAGCATAGGCTGGCCCAGGACTGGGGTTGGCGGTGGCAGCAGTATGTAGGCAATCAGGGCCTGCAGAGTGTCACTCACCTAGGGAGATCAGATGATGGAAGGCAGGCAGTGATGGCTGCCTGGCTGCCTGGCTGATGCTGGAAGTGATGGCAGTGGGTGGGAAAACAGGGGAAACGAGCGCACATGCGCTACATAAGGAGTGACTGGGTGGGGTGAAGGGGAGAGGTGGGGCAGAGAAAAAAGGGGAGAGAATGCTGTCAGCGATTGTTGCGCATGCGCAATAAGGACTGACTGCAGGGAACAGAGGCATGGGAGGAGAGGGACAAGGCCAATAAGGTGCCCGTTTTACTGGTTCTTCAAACTACTAAGAACAGTAACAACCGGTTCTTGCGAACTGGTAGAATCCCACCCCTGAATTGCGCTCTGCAATGGGCCCTCCTCCAGTGGCCCCTGCCACCTCTTAGGGCCCCCTGCCTCTTAGCGCCCCTCTACGGCATCCCACCTCCCCCAGGGGATGGTACCACCCACTTTGGGAACCACTGGTATAGATGAAGTATTCCGAGTATTTACAAGATACTCTATGAGAAATAAATTACCAAGAGAAGTCCATGTGAGGTTTACTAAGAAAGCAATTAAAATGCAAATATTGCAGAGAGCCAGAGGTGACCCAGAGATATAAAGGAAAAGAGATATTAGTCCTGAAACAAGTACCAAGGAAAGTGAGAGAGTTGAGAAGATTATATCAATTCTTGACGAAAATATTAATTAAAAAAGAAGCGAACTACAGATGGCTGGTTCCAGAAGGCTTAACCTTTATTTGGCGAGAACAATGACATAGACTAGATTCAATAGAGAAGAAGAGAAGATGGGAGGAGGAGACAGATAAATCTCAAAGGGAGATGGTGGAGTTAAGAGATAAAGAAAAAAGAGATGAAATATTACAAGAAGCAGTTGGTGGAAGAGAGGAGCCTAGAGAACCTAGAGAGCAAAGATCAATGATAGCAATAAATCCTATATAAACAACGGAAGAAAAGAAATTGACTTCAATTAATATAAATGGATTAAACTCACCCATTAAAAGGAAATTAGTAAAATTAAAATTAGATATAGTCTTCCTGCAAGAGGTCCACATTAAACAACCACATATTCAAAAGCTGAAGTACCCAAGAATTGGTGACTTATATGCCTCATTGGATCAACAAAATAAAAGAGCAGTAGTACCAAACATAAAGAATACCATTAAGGACAAATTAATTTATACAGACGAAGAAGGAAGAATCTTGATGGTGGAAATAATGGATAATAATTTGAAAATACTTTTAGTAGCAATTTATGCACCAAATGAAAAACAAGAAGAATTTTACAAAACGTTGCACGAGAAGATAGTAGAATTGGAATATGCCAATATTTGCATGTTGGGAGATTTTAATGCTATAGTAGACATAAAATTGGACTATAAAACACAGAAACTTAACAAAATGAGTAGAAAGATACTTTCAAAATCCTTTTTTAAGATGGTGGAGAAACTTAGGATTAGAGATGTTTGGAGAGAAATGAACCCTAAAGGTAGACAATATACATTTTAAATCAAATAGACATTTATCTTGGTCGAGAACTGGCATGATTTGGATGTGATCGGAAATAATTTCTAATATACAAGAAATTAATATTGAAGCAAGTTGTTAGGAATGTAAGTAACCTAACAGTTGGGTTGGAAATATATAAACCAGAATAGACATTTTAATACTCTCTCTTTAAGGGAATGCTAAAATTGTAATTGGGTGTGGTTCCTCAAACAGCCGTAAGATGGAGCCAGAAACCTGGTTTCCCTGAGTGTTGCTAGTTGCTAGATGGTCGATGTTCTGATATTCGCTGGTTTTGATTCCTGCATTGACTGTTGCTGATCATCCTTATTCTTGGATTGATGTGAGTCTATTACTGTTTTTGATACTGGACTTTGTTATTGGATTATCTCTGGACTGAATACTGACTGCTATAACCGTGTATGACTTGGACTGTTTGTTGGACTTTGTTTAACTGTTTACTTTGCTTAACTGTTTACATTTTACTATGCAGTGTATCTGTGTGCTGTTTGTGTGTTATTCTTCACCACTCTCTCTACCTCTCCCTCTGTGCGCTTTTTCTCCTAACGGGGAATTACCTCAACACTGGTTAAGGGCCCAGGCCATACCAGGCTTAGGTAACTGAGAGGTAGTATGAATACACAGTAATGTATACAGACAGCTGTTTACTGTTTAATTGTGGTTTACTGTCCTGGTAAAGATGGCACAAGACTGTCAACAAGTCTATCACTGATAACCCGGTTGGATGGAACAAACTATGTTTCCTGGTCTATGAAGTGCAGTTTACTTCTGCCTAAGGAAGGGTTATGGACTGTAGTTCAAGATCCACCAGATGTAAATACTTGGGATCCAGATGATGAGGACGATGCCAAGAAGTTAGCTGACTTTAAACGGAACAATGAACGAGCTCTTTGTATAATTGGACTAACACTGAGTGAGCAGCAGCTAGTCCATATTCGTGGAGAAGAGTCTGCTGCTAGGTGTTGGGAGAATTTGAAGAGGATTTATGTTCGTGACAGTGTAGGTGCACACATACATCTTACACGTAAATTGTTTAGAGCACGTCTTCTGAAAGGTAGAGATATGTTAGCCCATTTGAACTTCATGAAAAGAACTTTTCAGGAGCTACGTGAAAAGGAACTGATATTTTCAGAGCTGCATCAAGTTTACATCATTCTTTCCTCATTGGATGGAAGTTATGATGATTATGTATCTTCACTGGAAGTCCTGACCAAAGATGAACTGACATTGACTGACATAACCAAAAGGTTGTTAGAAGATGCAAGAAGTTGACTGGATAGGGATCAACTGAAGAAGGAACAACCACAAGAAGAGGATTTGTCGTCAACTGCCTATACTGTTAGGAAATGTTTTTCTTGTGGGGCTAGGGGACATATAGCTAGATTCTGTAAAAAGGGAAAACGACAGAATACTGGTAATCACCAGAAGTCTAAAAAAGAATGTTAATTTAGCTATGTCTAGCAATTCAACTGTAAACCATGATTTGTGGGTAGTTGATAGTGGAGCATTGCAGTGCATTACTAGAAATAGAGAGAGCTTTGTAATGATGTCCACGAGTAAACAACATGTATCATTGGCAAATGGATGGAAGATGAAAGCATCTGGTGAAGGTACTGCATATTGTTCATGTATAAACAATCATTTAACTATGTTATAGGTACCTAAACTGAAATTTAATTTGCTATCGGTAAGGGCTTTAGTTAATATTGGTTATGTAGTAACCTTTGGGGGAGATAACTGTATAATAGAGAAAGAGGGTAAAATTGTTACTGCTACTTTAGAGAATGATTTATATGTGATACATGATGACCAGTTGAAGATGGCTAACTCAGTTTATAACAATGTTAAGCCACATGACAAATGTATACATTTATTGCATAGACGCCTGAGGCACATTAATTTCAAAATAATCAAACAAACTGTTGAACTTCGGAGGGAGTAAAATTAAAACCTGTAGCAAGTTTTTAAACTGTAATGCCTGTAACCAGGAGAAAAGCAAGGTTACTCCTGCAAACAGACTAAATGGGTTTAAGATCAAGGAACCTTTAGAGGTTGTGTTTGCTGACATAATTGATCCTAATAAACCCAGTTTGGGAGGCGCCTGCTATGTTCTGAGTATAATGGATCATTACTCACAACATGGTTTCTGCTATTTAATGAAAAACAAAACAGAAGCATTCCAAAATTTCTTTAATTGGCTGAGGTTTGCTGAGAGAAAAATGAACGTAGAGTAATGACTTTAGTTACTGATAATGGGACTGAGTTTGTTAACAATAGATTCCAAACTATGTTAAAATTGGCTGGTGTCGAGCATAAACGTTCTGCACCTTACAGATCACAACATAACTCATTTGTAGAACGAAGAGGGTGAACGTTACAAGCCATGGCTATATTAACTGACTCAGGTTTGCCTGAAACACTGTGGGGTGAGGCCGTAATGTGTCGTAACCATGTGTTGAACAATGTAGTGAACACAACAACTGGTGAATTGCCATTCACTCGTTGGCATGGCAGAAAGCCAAATTTAAGTTACCTACACACATTTGGAGCTCCAGCATGGGTGCATATTCCCTCACAAGTAAGAATGAAAGAGCAACATAGAGCTAGGAAATTATTTTTTGTAGGTTACAAAGCTAACCATAGATCGTTTAGATTTTGGGATCAAGGCACAGCTAATATTTACTGTAGCGCTAGTGGTAAATTTCTTGAGCATGTTGGGTGGAATAAACTGGAACAGGAATCCAGCAATGTTGTTATTATTGACATCAAAGTAGTCCCTAAAGTTGAAATAAGTAAATCATGAATAGCCCTTAAAGAGGAAGAACAGGCACAGGAGGAAGTAGGAGAACAGGCACAGAAGGAGGTAGAAGAACAGGAGCAGGTGGCACAGGAGAGTCCACCAGTAAGCCCTGTAATACCGAGATGTTCAACCCAAGTAACACGACCACCTGATAGATATCAGGCTAGTGTTGTATGCCAAGTGAATACAGTTCCTGGTAATTATAATGAACTGAAACTGTATCCTACTAAGGATCAGGCTGTTTGGCAGGAAGCAATGGATAAGGAACTGAAATCCTTATAAAAACTGGAGGTATATGAAAATGTCAGGTTACTACCAGGTGAACAAGCCATAAGATGTAAGTGGATTTATAAACTTAAGACAGATGTGAAAGGCACTGTTACCCATAAAGCCAGATTAGTAGCACAAGGGTTCAAACAACTACGATGAGGTGTTTGCACCTAGTCTGAAGGCTACTACATTACAAGCAGCATTAGTGTGGGCAGTTAAGGAGGAATACATTGTAAATCATTTAGATGTAGAGACAGCATATCTGCATGCACTATTGCAACACACTATTTATTTAAAGAAACCCTTAGGTATCAAAAATGATAATACAACTGATTGCTGGAGATTGAAAAAGAGTCTTTATGGCTTGAAGCAATCAGGATATGAGTGGAACTAGTGTATAGTTAAGGAATTAACTAAGAGAGGTTTTGTAGCTGGCATGGCTGATCCATGTTTATTTAAAAAGGAAAATAATGGTGTAGTTTCATTGTTGCTATTGTTTACTGATGACATAGCATTAATCACCAAAACTGAACAAGAAGCTACTAAAATAATATCACTGTTAGAGAAGAAATTTAAGATAAAACAGTTAGGAGAAATTAAACAATATCTTGGTTTAAAGATAGATAGAACTAAGGGAGGATACAAAATCTCACAGGCAGATGAAATTAAACAATTTCTAAAAAGTTTTAAAATGGAACTTTGTAAGCCGGCTAAAACACCAATGAGCCAGGAGTTTAGCCATAGTGATGTTCAAAGTCCTATTTTTGATAAGAACATTTATCAGCCTTTGATTGGTAGTTTATCTTAGCTCAGTAATTGGTCAAGGCCAGATGTTGCATACTGTGTTAATCAATTAGCGAGATTTAATGCTGAGGCAACTGAAAGGCACTGGAAAGCTGCTAAACATGTATTAAGATATCTGAAACAAACAATGCATTATGCATTGTATTTGGAGCCTAAAGATGAACTGAGTTTAACTGCATATGTTGATGCAAGTTTTGCTACAGACATAAATACACAAAAATCTACATCGAGTATTGCTGTATTATTGGGGAAAGCATTGATTGGATGGAAGTCTATTAGACAGAAACATCTAAGTTTGTCAACAATGGAGGCTGAATTCTCATGTTTGTCTCTAATATGTACAGATTTAGTTTGTTATAAGCAACTATTGATTGACATGGGAATTGATGTAACAGATTCTATTGTTGTTTATGAAGACAACCAATCAGCAATACAGATGGCTTCAAATCTTGCTGTAAAGACAAGAACAAAATACACAGATTTAAGATATTTAAATGTGAAACAACATGTGCAAAGTAAGATAATTAAGCTGGAATACTGTATGTCAGAAAATAACATCACATATCATTTTACAAAAGCCCAAGGCTCTGTAAATTATAAGGCTTCCTGTGAGGATTATGGACTTAGAATGTAAGGTTGTATATATTGTCCTACCCAAAGGGGAGTATGTTAGGAATGTAAATCACCTAACAGTTGGGTTGGAAATATATAAACCAGGATAGACATTTTAATACTGTCTCTTTAAGGGGATGCTAAAATTGTAATTGGGTGTGGTTCCTCAAATGGCCGTAAGATGGAGCCAGAAACCTGGTTTCCCTGAGTATTGCTAGTTGCTAGTTGGTCGATGTTCGCTGTTTTTGGTTCCTGCATTGACTGTTGCTGATCATCGTCATTCTTGAATTGATGTGAGTCTATTACTGAACTGTTTTTGATACTGGGCTTTGTTAATGGATTATCCCGGGACTGAAAACTGAAAACCATGTATGACTTGGACTGTTTGTTGGACTTTGCTTAACCATTTACTGTAAGTAAAAACCTACATTTTACTATACAGTGTATCTGTGTGATGGTTGTGTGTTATTCTTCACCACTCTCACTATGTCTCCCTGTGTGCACTCAATCTCCTAACAGGGAATTACCTCAACACAAGTATCTGGGCGGATCACAACCCAATATGGGTCAAATGGCAAGGACAAAGGAAAAGATCAAGATGGACTTTAAATAATGTAATTTTGAAAGAAAAAGAATTCATACAGAAACTGGAAAAACAGTTGGCATTTTTCTTTAAGGACAATAAAAAGGAAGAAACTTCATTGCAGAACCTATGGGACACCATGGAGGCCTATACTAGAAGTTTGATTATAGATTATACAAGAAGAAGAAATGTTAAGAAAAGACAGAATCAACAGATATTAGAAGGTGAATACAGGAAACTTGAGAAAGAATTGCAGAAATATTCACAAAATACTATTAATAAAAAACAAATGGAGGTAATTAAGCATAAAATAGGGTTGACAGAAAAAGAAGAATTAGCTCAAAAAATTAGAAGTGCCAAACAAAAATTTTTTGAAAACGTGAATAAACCTGGTAGATGGCTTGCATACAAACTGAAAAAAGAGAGCGAAACAAAAAAGATAACACATTGATAACAAAGGTGTGAGCTGTAATGGAAATGAAGAAAAGAAAGAGATTGTACAGAAGTATTATGAGACATAGTATAAGCAAGAGAATATTGAAGAAGAAAAAGTTAAACAATATCTACAAAAAGCAGAGTTACTCAAATACCTGAAGACACTAAGATAATGTTAGAAGGAAAAATAACAATGATGGAACTGACAGAAGCGTTAAACAGACAAAATATTGGGAAGGCTCCAGGCCCGGATGGTGTTCCAACTGAATTTTATGACTCTACAGAAATCATGAGTAATATAATGCTTGAAATGATGAATGAAGTCTTGTTGAAAGCTAAAATACCTGACGCATGGACAGAAGCATATATTACCTTAATAAAGGTAATAGGACACTGATCTACAACAGATTAAAAACTATAGACCCATTTCCCTGTTAAATGCGGATTACAAAATCTTTGCTTCAATAATGGCAGAAAGAGTTAAACAATACTTGAATAACTTTATAAATGTTGATCAAAATGGATTCCTGCCTAAGAGACAGATCAAAGACAATATAAGAATAATTTTGAACACCTTGGAATATTATGAAATTTATTCAGAGAAGCAAATGGCTTTGGTATTTTTAGATGCGCAAAAAGCCTTTGATAATGTAAACTGGCAGTTTATGATACTACAAATGGAACAGATGGGCTTTGAAGAAAGATTTATAAAAGCAGTTGAGGCAATATTTCAAAAGCAATCTGCTAAAGTGATAATTAATGGAGATTTGATGAAAAATATCAATATTGAAAAAGGAACTAGACAAGGATGTCCTTTGTCGCCATTACTGTTTGTGTTGATCTTGGAGGTGCTAAATAGAAATATCAGAGACAATAGGGAAATTAAGGGAATGAAAATACAAAAGGAGGAATATAAGCTACAAGCGTTTGTGGATGATTTGATTTTCATATTGGAGGAACCAGTGAAATCAGAGCCCAAATTGTTCAAAAAATTGAAGAATATGGACAGGTGGCAGGATTGAAAATAAATAAGGATAAAACCAAGGTATTAGTTAAGAATATGACGGGAAAACAAAAGACTATTTTGACAGAAGGACTGAACATTCACATTATAAATAAAGTAAAATATTTAGGAATATATCTAACAGCAAGATGTGGAATTTTGAAGGAAGATAATTATGTTAAATTTATAAAAGAAATTGAGACAGATTATTCCAATTAAATTAGGGGAAAAATTGTTATAGACTTAAATAAAATAATATTGAAATACATATGGCAGGGGAAGAAGGCAAGAATTAAACTTAAGTTGTTATTAAATGGTAGAATAAGAGGAGGATTTGGCTCACCTAACTGGGAAGTATATTATCAGGTGGCAGCATTGATATGGGTTAAAGTATGGGTTTTATTAAGGAATGTTAGATTGTTAATACTAGAAGGTCATGATCTATTACTGGGATGGCATGCTTTTTATGGAAAGTAAGGCTCATGGGTATTTCAAGAGACACTATATACAAGATTCTTTATTGCTGATATGGGAGAAAATAAGAAAACATTACATGAAAATTCCAGTCTGGTTGTCAACTACAGAAGCAGGGTGGCTTTCTGCCGATTCGGAACAGTTCTATAGAACAGGATGTTATGAGTCTGAGTAGTTCGAAGAACTGGTAAATCGTGCCCTGGCTGGCCCTGCCCCTTCCTGCCCGTGCAGTCCCCACCCCGCCCAGTTATTCCTCATCTCGCCCGCCATTGCTAACCTGCCTTTGCCCGCCACTGCTGCCCGCTTTCCACCGTGGCCCTGATCTCCCTGGGTGAGTGAGCCTACAAGCAAGTGCCGGTCGAGTCAACACCCGGGCCAGCCTAGGCTGCTGCACTGTCTCCAAATACCCTGCCCCATCCCTGGGCTTGACTGGGCTGGAGGCCGTGCTTGCCAGAGAGAGAAGAGAGTGTTCTCCTGCCCCCGCTAGCCAGGGAAAAGCCGCTGTGGGGATGGAGCTGTGCTTGCCAGTGAGAGGAGAAAGAGTTCTCTTCCCCTCGCTGGCCATGGAAAAGCCGCCGCAAGGACAGAGCCATGCTTGCCAGCAAGAGGAGAAAGCATTCTCTTCCCCTTGCTGCTGGGAAGGGCTCCATCATGGAGGGCTGTGTCTTTGGGCCAGGCACTTTCTGTTGGGCTTCCTGCATCACATGGGGTGGTGGGAGGAGGATGTGTATGGTGGGGAAGGAAGACTGTCTGCAGTTCTTGCAGCTAAAACTGGGAATCCTGGGGTATCTGCAAATTTGCATTTGCTGCACTGGCTGGGAAGACACTTACTCCACTTGACACTGCTCAACTCCCTGGCCAGTATGTGTCAGAAGAGGGAGGAAGAAAAACCTGTCTTCCTCCTCGGGCATTCTCACAGAGTATGGACACATGAGGCTGGGACCTTCTGTGCATGGGCGAGTCCCTCTGGCGCTGTGCACATGCAAAGGAACTTCTGCAAGGAGTCGGCACGTGGGCGACTCACTGTGTGTGTGTATATATGCCTGAGGAGAAGAGTTGCCAAACTTTTCTTCCTGCCCCCCAGCGTGAAGGCAGCTGCCGCAGCCTGTACCTTTAAGGTACTTTGACATGGGGGGGTGAGAGAGGGGACGATAAACAGACAGCCCGGTGACAGAAGCTGCCTTCTGAGCAGCTCCTCTCCGAAGGGAAGGGAGTAAGAAAAGTTTGGCAATTCTTCTCCTCCTTCTCTGGTAGAGCATGCACACACGGCACTGGAAGCATCTTCAGAGAAGGGTTGCTGAACTTTTCTTCCTCCCTCCCAAGGGGACCACTTTAAGCGTGATTACTCCCTGCCTCAGCCCTCAGAAAGCATCTCCCAGTGGAGCAGCAACGGCTGGGTTGGGGGATGCTCAAAGCCCCATTCCAAGGTCCCCTCTCTTAAAGCAGCAGGCTTTAAAATGGCACCATTCGTGTGTGTGTGAGAGAGAGGGGGGGGGGAGAAAGGAAGGAAGGGCAAAAAAGAGGAAGGGAGAGAGAGAAAGAAAAAAGAGCAAGAAAGAAAAAGGAAGAAAGAAAGGAAGTGAAATGAAGAAAGAGGGGATGGAAAGAAGGGACAGAAAGAAAAAGAAAGAAAGAGAGGTAGAAAGGAAGGGGAGAGAAAGAGAGAGGGGGAAAGAGAGGGAGAGGAGATAGAAAGAGAGAGAGAGAAAGAGAGGGAGACAGAGAAAGAGAGGGGGGGGAGGAGAGAGAGAGAAAGCAAGGGAAAGAGAGAATGCCACAACTGGGTGGCTACCGCCCCCCCCCCCCCCCCCCCCACCCCGTTCAATAGCTTGTGATCCAATGTAAGAAGGATGTTGAGGAACAAAGAGTGAAAGGGTGCAGAAGTATTCAACCAGAATTGAAGGTTTGGCTCCTGGGGAGAAGGAGCATCTTTGGGGCTGAAACTCATGTGTAGATACAATAAGAAGCACCAGTTGGGTCTAGGAAGGGTCACCAATCTGAAATTTTAAAGGCTGCATGATTCTGCAGCCCTCAGTAGGGTCCTTCCTTCCTTCCTTCCTTCCTTCCTTCCTTCCTTCCTTCCTTCCTTCCTTCCTTCCTTCCTGTTATTGCCTTTCTTCTGGGCTGTTCTTATTCTATGATACTGTAGAACTGGGGTTGCTCTGATCATCCTCTTGTTTCTAAGCTGCCTCATTTGTTTCTATTGATTGCATGTGGTTGTTTTTTATTTTTGAAGACCCTGCACAAAGATTAAAAATCACAGTCTCTGCCTGCAGGCTTATTCTCTGAGAGGCAGAGGACAATAGAACAGGGTCAAACTAGGAGAATCCCACCTCTGGGTGTGTGTGTATGTGTGTGTCTCATGTGGGCTTCCTAGCTTTAAAAGGAGAGAGGGAAGGAGGAAGGGACAGAAAGAAAGACAAAGAAAGAGGGAGAGAGGGAGGGAGGGGAGAGAGAGAAAGAGAGGGGGATACAGAAAGAGAGAGAGGGAAAGAGAAAGGGGAGATACAAGAAAGAAAAGAAAGAAAAGGGAAAGAAAAAAGGGAGAGAGAAAGGAAGTGAAAGGAAGAAAGGGGGATGGAAGGAAGGGGGAGAAAGAAAGAAAGAAAGAAAGAAAGAAAGAAAGAAAGAAAGAAAGA